ATAAAAAAAAAACCCCAAACTTGAAATCACAAACAGAAGTTTACTAGTCTGACTGAGATTCTAAGACTATTGACCTTAGCTATCTCCATTTTCAGCCAAAAAATAGGCAGGCTTCAAAGGTAATATGATGGGGCAGGGGTGGGGGGAGTGAGGAGTGGATGGTTAATCATAGAGTCTCTCAATTTGATGGGTGGAGGAAGGGGTCCGTAAAGGAAAGGGGAAAGACCCAGTGTGAAAAACAATGTATACGAACTTTGAAAGTAAAGCAGAATAAGAGAAAAACTTTATTTTAAGTAAAAAATAGAAATAATAAAACCAGTGAGGTATATAGTCATCAGAACAATCAATCATTTGAGATCAAAAGGCATTATTTTGCCCAAGGATAAAGCCCAGAAGGCAGGAAATAGCAGGGAATAGAAAAAACAGGAAGAAAATGGGAAGAGTGCTATTTCATTATGGGGGCAGCAGTAAATGTTAGATTGTTTTTGTTGTTACTGGGAACTGTTGAGTGGATAGTAACCCTATCCAGTAGAATTGCCCCATAGGGCTTCCTAGGCTATAAAATTTACAGATACAGATTGCCAGGTAAGCCTCCTTCAGACATGCAGAATGAGTTAAAACTACAAACTTTTCAGGTTAACTATTGCACTACCAAGACTCAGTCAAAGCTTAACCAGTATACCACCAGTTGTTGTTGTTAGGTGCTGTCAAGTTGAGTCCAACTTACAGCAACCCTATAAACAAAAGATCTACTCACTGTTCTATCCTGTGCCATCCTCACACTACCTGGCACACAAGAGCCCATTGCAGCTGGCACCGTGTCAATCCACCTAGTCAAGGGTCATGTCTCTCTCCAAGGAATAGCCCCTGCTAGCAACATGCCCAAAGTCTGCTTGCCTCCAAAGAGCCTTCTGGCTGCATCCACTCCAAGACATAACTGTTCATTCTCTCAGCCATCCATGGGTTGTTAAGTGCTTTCTCTAACACCACAGCTCAATGGCATCAATTCTTTTTCTGTCATCCTTATTCATTGTACAGCTCTCAGATGTATAGCAAAATAGAAATAGAAGGGAATTTCCTCAACATAGTGAAAAGTATATATGGAAAACCAAGAGCCAATATTAAAAAGGGGCCCACTGTCACCACTTCTAGTCAATATTGTATTAGAAGTACTGGCTATGGCAATATGATAAGAGAAGGAAATTAAAGACATCAAGATTGATTAGATGGTTAAATTGTTGCTATGCAGGAGTTGCTATGCTGAACCTTGTGCTACTGGGGTATCAAATGCCATAATGATTCCCCATGGTAGACAGTGTTTGGTGGAGCTCCCAGTTTAAGACAGGTTTGGAAGCAGGAGTGGCATCCACTTCCTAAACAACATGCCTCTGAAAACTGAATGAACTTTGATAAATGTCAATAGTTGTAGAGAGCCTTCAGGTCTTTTGTTCATAGGGTAGCTATGAGTCGTACTCAACTTGAAGGTAATCAACAACAACATATGCAGATGATATGACAGTGCACACAGAAAACCCCAAAGTCTGAAAAAAAAACCCAAAACAGAACTGTTAGAGCTAATGGGCCAATTCAGTAGGGTGGCAGGACACAGATAATATCCAAAAGTCAGTGGTATTCCTGTACAGTAACAAAGAGAACTCAGAGAAGGAAACCAAGAAAACAATGCCATTTGCAATAGCCAACCACAAATTGAGATACTTGGGAGTGAACCTAGCTAGAGACACAAAATACCTGTACAAAAAGACTACAGAGCACTTCTGCAAGACACAGTGTTTTTGTTATTGTTGATTGCTGAACAGAAACTCTTGTACACTCTTGGTAAACTTGTAAAATGGTGCAACCACTCTGGAAGGCCATTTAGTGCTTCCTAAAAACAATGAACAGAGAAACTCTGTATGACCCAACTATTTTTCTGCTAGAAATATACTTCACGGAAATTAGAACTGAGACACAAATGGAGATTTGTACACCAATGGCCACAGCAGCATTACTCACTAGCGCAAGAACAGCCCAAATGTCCAACCACAACTGGATAGATTGAGAAATTGTGGTATATTTACACAATGGGATACTATGCAGCACTCAAGAGTAATGATTTTAAAAAACACTACTTAACTTGGGAGAGACTGGAGAGAGTTATGCTGAGTGAACCAACTCAATCTAATAAGGACAAATACTGCATAAAACCATTATTGTAGAAATAGAAGGATGACTAGTAAAATACGTATGGGGATCCAAGAGGGGAAGGGGTGGGAGCAGATGAGTGAGAATGGGTGGGGGTAAAATCCCAGAGCTGTAAAATTTGGTGGATGGATGGAGGAGGTAAAGGAAATGGGAAAGATACAGTGGAGATCTGAAATGACAGGGTAATGGTGGACATAATATGATGGCAATTAACTTTATAAAATATTATGAATGGAAATGATTGCATGAAACACAATGTGAATGAAGAATAGTGTGAAACTATATATATATATATAAACTTTGTAAGCAAACCAATATAAAATAAAAAAAGAATCATTTCTAGATTCTGAGTCTTTGACACTCTTGCCATTGTGAAAAAGATTAACTTGCACACTCATTTCAATATTCCTCTCTAAATGGTGAAGAGATAGAGATTGTTAACAACTTTAATTTGCTTTACTCCACAATCAACACTCTTGGCACCAGCAGCCAGGAAATGAAAAGACAAATTGTGTTGGGAAAGTCTGCTGCCTCACTTCTACTCTGAGTGCCCCATTTCCAACCATCCTTCTTTCCTTCCTTCTGAACTCTGCTCCACGTGGGGAGAAACCAATAATTGCATCTTACATGGCTGATAATAACCTTTTAAATCTCAGTTGCTGCCTACCAAAGTAAAGTGTAAAATGTCTTTGTGGAGTATGTTATGCCAATTAACCTAAAATAACCCCAGCCTTGTCTTAGCCTCTAAACCTTATGATTAAGTCTCTCAGGACATTTGGTTATGACTCAAAAGTTTTCATATCGTTGTCCCTTCTACGTTCTATGTACTACGTTCTATGGATATATTTGCAGCAAGTATAAATAAAATCTCAAAAAACCCTCTTAAAAACATGTATACAATTGAATGTATTCTATGTTCTACGTTTATGGATATATTTGCAGCCAGTATAAATAAAATCTTTTAAAAACCCTCTTAAAAACATGTATACAATTGAATGTATACTCCCATATGCAATTCCAAGCATATTCAGCTAACTAGCATATATGCCTATGTATCTATCCACTAGTAAACAATAGTTTGGTATCACCGTTATTGTAGGACTATACATATAATAGTATTTGGTCATGATATGCTATGCTATCCTCTATTCACATTCGTTTTTGTATCTGTACAGCAGTTTTGGTAGTATTTTAGATATCCTTTGTATTAATTACAGATTACCTTCCACTAGATATGTTTCTACACTTCTGCATATAAATAGACTAAATAGGTATTGAATAAACACTAAAGAACATGATGTAGAATTACATGCAAATAGATGCTTAACAAATGTTAATACTAAGGATGAATATTTCAATAGTGATTCTAGTCACCTATGAGATCCAAAAGGCAGACAATTGTTTCATTATATATAT